GAATCCACTGAAAAGCCATATGTTGAAGCATACTGTAGTGCAGGCAGTGTAATCAGTTCACAGATAGGAAAAGCAAGCAGAACTGAGTCTTGAGAAGTTCAGAGCTGCTTTGTGTTGTCCACAGCTTTCAGTTTCACTGGTTCAGTGGTTCTCCAGTGGTTTTTTAAACCAACCTAATCTTTATCTGCCAAATCTGTGGTATATGGTTGATTACAGTAAACAATAATAATGCATTTTCATGTGTTTACATGTTCTTAGAAATCCTGTTTACTTGAAACTCATTTGTAATAGAAGCCAATGGACAATTGTTGAATTCTTTCAATAAACGTCTGAAATACATGATACACAACACAAACTGGAGTTATGAAATAAACATGGAGCTCCTCTTCCTTCATATCTAACTTCCTATGAGTGTCCTTCTCCATCTTCTATCCCCTGTGACAAAATTATTGCACCCTTTCACCTATTCATCTCCTCCCTTTTTCTCAGTCTTATCTCTGTTCAACAAAGGGGGGGTCTTCTAGATTAAAACAGAAGCTCTACAGAACTCCAGCCCAGGTTCTGAGTTCTGTTCCCTTCTAAAGTCATACTACAGCTGTATTGAAGATGTAGTTTGAACTAGTCTGATCTCTAAAAGTTATATATATATATATATATATATATATATATATATGTATATATATATACACAGATAATTATACAGATTTAAAACTTGAAATTAAAAATACAAAATCTTACATGGTGTTGTCTATGTACCCATGTTTTGTTTGCTTAATTTATTGTGATATCTATTATATTGCTCAGGAATTAACATGGCTGTACAAATCTTCATTACTTCACACACTTATATATCTATTAATATCATATATGTACGCACGGATGCCCTTGTGCACACACATATGCTTACACATTCATATGTTTTTGTTTTATGTGTTATGTCGATGCTGATATTTAGGTCATTTGATGTTTGTTTTATGTCATTATTATGTTGTATATTATTTTGTATTTTCCATAATTGAAATAAGCCTATTAGGGTTTTTTGTCTCTCCCTGCACTGTGTGTTATCTTTGCCTATTTGTGTGTATTTTTAAATCGTGCAAAAATAAATTACAACCTACAAACTATCTTACAAATGTATCAACATCGTTTCTTATCTTTTCTAAATACAGGAAAAAATGTCAAAATTACCCTCGTGGAAATCGACTCTATACTATAGATGCAGCAGACAGAGCGCTGAAAACCGCTGAAGAGCTCCATTAATAAGCTACTTTGCTGATTGAGATGTTAACACGGTGCTGCAGTTGGTTTGGATTTCTCACTATTGTCTTTGTGCTGTCCTCTGGGGCTGAGTGTTGTCAAGGCTGGGAGTCTCTAATAGGCTACAGTCTGCTGGCATAGGGACCATGCTCAGTGCCAGGGGCTGGCATGATGTGCCGTGCCACCGGTTGTTAGGACACAGCCTGGAGGAGAGGCCCAGGCTCCTGCAGCCTCTGTCATCTGATCAGACAGCCCACTGACACCTTCACAAGCTGTCGGGACGCTCCGGGCTCATCAAGCAGCGGCTCCAGCAGTGGCGGCAGCAGCAGCGGCGCTAACAGCAAAGCAGTGCAGCGTATAGACAAACAGTGTCTCAAATACCAACAGAGCCTCCAGCCATGCTAACCGGAGATTTCCCTGGAGTCCGCCCCCCTGGCTTGATGTTCGTCTAGGTTGTTTCACTTAGTCTTGTTTTGGCAGTAACAAACACCTCCCTGGCTCGTCACTGGAAGAGTTGTGAAAGTGGCTGGACAGCTCTGACACTCCGACAGCTCTATAAGCATTAGTTTCCAGGGCTAAAAGGCTCTGTCTGTGTAGTAGTATACATGCAGTCTCACTGGCTAATTTTGGAACAAATTAGCCCATAGCGTCTCATTTAGATTTGATCGATTCAGTCAAATCTTGGCCTAAGTACAATTCATTGACAAGACACTTAAAACCCTGATTAAAAAATGAAAGACTTTAGAAATACTTTCTTTCAGCATGCAGCGTAAACAGCCTCCTGAGCAGAGTAATTGAATGGAGTGGAGCTTCAGACAGTTCAGCTCCTCGCTCAGCGTTCTATAGTCATTCTGCTCCAACTTCACTCCAAGTTTTCCATTTCCTGCTCCTCGCTCCTCACAAGAAAACCTGCTCTGTGTCCACTCCACATGATTCATTCTTATGATGTTCCTTTTAAGTCTTGAACATATGGACAAATCCTAAGTTATAAAGCAGTAAACGATCACTGTGGTCTGCAACTACACATCCAAACAACATATCAGAGCAGGGAAACACATTGCTTTCCAGGCATTAGGAACAACATGCCTTGCAATAATGCAAGATGACTCACCAGTGATGGTCTCTGCTCGAAAAGAAAAGATGCCTGATGATCTTTCATCTGGGCAAACTTGTCAAAAACTTTTCTCTCAAGGTCCACCAGTCCATGAATCAATTCAAGTGATAGCAGAGCAAGGGCAGGCAAGGAGAGCAGAAGAGTGTTTTTAGCTACACTCACAGTTAGCCATGTTTTTCTCTTGAACCTCTCTGGACTGAAGGAGCAGTTTTTGTCCTTTCCAGACTGAATGATGTGGAAATCCTCTGGCTGGTGTGTCCCAATCTCTAATTTCTGCTCTAATGGCTGGTACCAAATGTAACTTTTAATACATTTTCGACTCGACTTATTATATTGCCTTGCAATTAGAAGTGGCTACCACAACTGATGAGGAACAATGGCTAGCTGCGCAGCAATGCCCACACCGTAAACGTCTGGATGTATGTAAATGTTTTATTGGCTGCTCTCAGCTTGAGGCCAACATGATCGTGCCCCACAACTGGTTATTAAAAGCGCGTTGAACATGCGCAGTGTTTTTTTTAACTGCTCACTTGGTTAGACAGATGCTGACGTGCCCCACACTCACTAAACAAAGAATGGAAGGAGAAATAGGTAGCCTACTGGCATTTACACAACACGGAAAATATTTGGAATGTATCGGATGTTCGTGTCATGCGCAACAATATTAGTTACGAAGAAAAAAAAAAATATATATATATATATTTTTTTTTTTTTCTTTGTAACTAATATTGTATATATATATATATATATATATATATATATATATATATATATACATATTGGCTGTTAAACTGCAGATTATTGATCATGTCCACAGCAACATCTGGAGGGGCCAGGCTCCACCGGCCCCTAATGTAGAGACGCCCCTGGTTATTAACCAACACAAGTTAAACGTTCTATGCTGCACAGGCTTTTTTCAGTAGGTACAGGCTTGAAACGATGGCCCAATCACAAGCCAGAAAACTGCAAAGAGTAAACAAATGTACTTTTAACACAATCTTCTTTATCACTCATGCAGCAAAATGGACAACATGAGACAAACGAATGTAATATCTGGAGCAGTATTGGAGCAATTTTGAAGTGGAATAGAGCAACTTTCCATGGCCTGAATTATACTTCTGCAGCAGAAGACTCCACAGACAGCACACAAACCTTAAGAAAGCATTTTAGCAGTCATAGTTAGTGCTTCTGTCATGGCAGTATTCTTTGTACTATGATGGCTGTAGAGGTGTACCTGCAAGTCTCCCCTTAAATTCAGTCTTTGTGAATAAAGCACCCCATGCAGTGAGTGCTAAGTTACACAAATTTAGAGGTGCATAAAATGGTACCAGGAGATTCACTCGAAAGAGGCCCTGAATATTCTGTAATAACTCTCTCTAGGGCGAAGCAATTTGAACAAAACAATGTGCAATGTGCTCCTCAGTGTATGGAGCTTCGAACAAGCTGGGATGCTCCTGCATCAGAGTTTTGAGGTGGGCACCAGACAGCGACATTTAACCTCTGTTTGCAACTTGCGGGTGCATACCCCCGTACCCCTTCACTCAGTCACTCAACTTCTCATCAGGATGGTGGTGTACAGTATGCAGTATGCAAGGAGCATGGCAGAAATTGAGTCCTTTTTCGGCAACAGGGTAGTTTCAAAGGGGCTTTGGCCACCACGGTCGCCGGATCTGACACCACCAGATTTGGGGTATGCTCAAAGGAAAAGTCTATCGGAACAAGCCTCACACTGTGGAAGATTTGAAGGAAAACATCCAATGAAATTGCTGCTATTCCACCCGATATGCTTGCCGATACGTTCAGGAACATGGAGTGCCTACGTCAAAATGTGTCTGGCAGAAAACAGAGATCACTTCCAGCATCACATGTAATGCAATCAATTACAGAAACGTCAAGATATGTAGCGTATTCTTTTGGTTCAGATTGCTTCATCCTAACGGGAGTTACAGTAGAATATTCGGGGCCTCTTTCGAGTGAATCTTCCTGGACAATGGTACATAACAAGGCATCAGGTATGAACCAAGCTTAAGTGCTGTCCCAGGACTTTGACAGCTTGGTCTCTGGTGATACCCCAGCCATCTTTGGACTCCAAGACAGCATAAACAGCCTCCCTGTCTCTGAGTAGGTAGGACAGCCCTGCCTCCCCACTCATCACTCAGTGCAGCGCCAGCCAGTGTAAGAGTCTGTTAGCTGACATAGCAGAATGGACAGTTAGCATTCTCCTCCAAGCATATTGAGCTTCATGACTTGAATGAAGCATACTAGCTCTCAACCTCCCAGATTGGTGGCATCGTATGATGCCTAGCTAGCAGATAGAAACTGGCCTCCACTTAAATGGTTGAAAACTAGATAAAAACAACATTAAACAGAAATAATGTCTATTTGAGATTAAGCTATGTTTTGGGGAAATTAGGTTTTCTTACAGCAGTGACTGCAGACTCTACTGAAAGATTCTCATAACATCATAATCATTCAAGCTCAGAACAGCACAGCCAGCATATCTGACAAATTTAGACTGAGAACCACATTGAGTGTAAAGGCCGATACATGATTCCATTTTCCACACAAGAGAGAAGAACATCTCCTCTGATAGGGATCAGCCTTTTCCTGCACAGCCATCAGGACTTACCTGTCATAATCCTGGCAGATCTCGCCCACAGCTATCAAAGCCTTCAGATATTCGTTTGGCTGGTATGGGTTGATGTAGTGCAGTGAGCAGCTATTGCGGGGGTCTCCGTTTGATGCTGTGAAGTCAATGGCAACCTGGAGGAAAAGACAGATCACCAGACATACTGTTAAAACAGCGACAAGGCTGGTTATTGATAGAGTGTATTGTGGCTGTCGTATCAAAAAATTGCAATATTTTTTTTGTATCATGATTTTTTTTTTTTTTAATCACTTGAAGACGCACGCTGCCTTTTACATTGTGACAATATGACCAACAGAAATCAACTAAAATGACTTGGAATGAAATCTGGTTACATTCATGTTCATTAAAGTCTTTTCATTCTCTCTTTTACTTCCTATAAAGTTACCATTTCAGAGATATGAGGTTTCTTTTTTTATGAAAGCAATGATAGACAAGTGTGGTGTAATATTTTCAAAGCTCCAGTTCAGTAAATAGGTCCTAATGGGCAAACATTACTGTTAGAAAACCATCTACACTCTAGGTAATAGAGAGTCTCTGTCTGTCTCTAAGAGGCTCAAATTAGTCGGCAGTCAGTGTGCCTTCAGGGAAGCTGTTTGAAAAAAAAAAATCCTGTACGTCTGTAAAAAAGGCACAGAATGTACTATATGGAAATGTAACCCTGCTCGAGTGCAGTGCCACTTATCAGCATACAATTAACACTTGCTCTAAATGTAATATGTAAAAATGCAAATTGTAAGTGCATCTAATGGTACATAATATGTGAAGGAATTATACAGTAAAATCAAACATAACCCATTAAAAAACACCTGTTTTCCAAAATATGAAAGGCTTGGCACATTAATAAAAGAATACACTGTACTGTGCAAAAGTCAGAGACCACCTTTCATTTATTTTATTTCCAGTCAAAATAGCCATTAAGTACAAGTAATTATTTTGGTAACACTTTACTGTAGGGTGCTGTTCATAAGGCTACATGACAGCTACATAAGCTTGTCATGACAACTGACATAACCCTGCAGAACTGTTTATAAATGCTTATTCCAACAGGCGTCATTTGTCATAAAGGCTACTTTAGCTGACTTTGATCAAAATTGGCAAATGTAACCTGTAAATGTAAAATGTAAATAGCGGATGATGTCTGCTGGAAAAAACACTTATAAACATTTATGTAGGGTTATGTCAGTTGTTAGGAAAAGGTTATGTAGCTGTCATGTAGCCTTATGAACAGCACCCTACAGTAAAGTGTTACCATTATTTTTTCAGAGATGTTACTGAGGAGGTTAGATCAAAAATATAAATAAAATGGACAAAAAAGAAGAAAAATTCCAAATCAAACAATCTGCTACTGCTGGTATTCTCAGAACAGTGGACTGACCACCCCAGAGTCCAGACCTCAATATCATCAAATGTGTTTGGGATCACTTAGAGAAGCAGAAAATGCAGCTTCTAAGACTGAAAATGCTGAAGTGTGAAAAAATACCCCTCCTGATTTCTTTGAAAACTGGAAGCAAGTCTGCTGAAAAGAATGAAAGCAGTAATAAAGGCAAAGAGTGGACACACTAAATACTAGAGGTGGGAACAGGTCTCGAGTCTTGACACTCAAGTCCCGAGTCAGGGCCAAAGTCAAGATAGTCGAGTCTCGAGTCCAGAACAGGTAAATTTTAAGTCACGTCCCAAGTTAATAGTCCTAAATAAGTCAGTTTACACTCATCAGCCAGTTTGAGGCCATAACACTGAATAATGGTCACAGCACTGTTGCCTTTTAATGACAGTAAGTTATTAGTGTATAGCTGTATATTCATTTTTTTAACCCATCCAACTAAAAGACAAAACTGTACACACATAACCATGACGTGCATACTGTATACACAAAGAATAGTGCAACTACACATGCAAAAATGTGAAAAGGTACTATTGAAAAAAAAAAACTTTATATTTTTGGGAACACTGGGTGCATAGGATTAAAATAAAAACTAGCTTAACACTAAAACTAGTTCAGCCAACTAAAAACACCCGCTAGTCTGAATTGAATTTAGACGACGACAGAAATCAAAACTACTGAGCTGAGCAAAGTTTACAGAAAAGCTGAAGTTGACTTTATTTTGCCAGTTTCTTATTTGAATTTTCTGTTCCACCTTAAATGGTGTACTAGTTATGCTCCGGCGCCAAACTGCTGCACCATTTAAGGTGGAACGACAAATTCCAAAATGGAGCTGGCGAATAACAAGTCAGTTTCAGCCTCGTGGTGAATGTTGTGCTTGTTTTACCTGCAGAAGCTGTTAAAATCAGTTTTGCAACTATGAGGAAAACGGTCAGTTCGCCTGGTGAGTTTCTCCAGTAAGAGTTTAAGTGCTGAGCGAAGGTGCATTGAGGCTGTTGATGCTTCGCTTGTTTCTAACTTATGGAGTTGAACTTGAGCTCTAACGCTTCACTTGTCTTCCAAAATAAAATAAGCCGAGCGTAAACACGGTAACAGACGTCTGATGACGCTGCTGTGTATCAGATTTATGGCAGGAAACTAATCCATTCACATGAAAAGTAACCAGCTGTGTAGCTGTCTGCAGTCAGACTCTCTCCACATCTCTTCCACTTTGGGTCTCAAGTCCTTCCGAGTCATAAGGCTGAAGTCCAAGTCAAAGTCCGAGTCATAGGTGTTGAAGTCTAAGACGAGTCGCAAGACTTTCTCGATTTTCTCAAGTTGAGTTTCAAGTCATCAAATTCATGACTCGAGTTGGACTCGAATTCAAGTCATATGGCTCGAGTCCACACCTCTGCTAAATACTGAAAAATGTACATTATACTTGTATGATTTCTGTTTTTTTCCTAACTCTCACAATTATAACTTTATGGCTATTTTGACTGGAAATGAAATACATGAAGAGTAGTCTCTGACTTTTGCTCAGTACTGTAAACTTATTATTTCATGTTCTTATTCCTTTCCCTCTGCATCCCCTATAAGGCCCTCGCCCCTACCACTTAGCCCTTAGCCCTCTGTTTTGCGCGTTCATGTCTAGGGGTAGGGTGTCCCAATTTTTGTTGAGATAGAGGGGTAGGGCGAAGTGTTGGGGCTACATGTCATTTCAATGTATTATGGTCCTTTTCTTCATAACAAGCATAAAAAATTGCTAACTGCATGCTAATGTCTCGGTAGCTAGCTAGCTAACTTTCCTGTTCCACCTTAAATAGTCCAGCAGTTCTGACGCCTGAAGCACCAGAATGTAACTGCTGCACCATTTAAGGTGGAACGGGAAAATTCGAACAAGAAGCTGGCGAATAGCTGACTTCAGCTTCGTATCACCAAAGAATTAGCGGTGGGCGATAATAAATAATTGTCTTATACCCCCTCTTTAAAAGTATATGATTCCCTAAATGTAACTAAAGACCAGCAGTGAGGTTGCTGAACTTTTCCCTCCTCTGCTATCACTGAAGACGGGCTGGGTCGCCTACAGAGCAGCACTAGTAGCTGTTAATGAAGTAATGGTTTTAATTTGAAGGTTGTCCCATTTTGTAGGGCAAGATTTCAGCCACTACCCTGTAACTCAGTTCCAAGGGGTCAGAGTGACACTCGAAAACAAGGGGTAGGGGTAAAAAGAAGAAATGGGATTGGGCCTAAATATTCACTTGTTAATGTTCTAAACTGTCCCGTTAATTTCTCACAGAGTGTATAAGATGAAGAATGGCAAAGAAAGGGACGGGTAGAGGTTTTAATTTGCTCAAGACGTCGCCTCTAGCAGAGCACGCCTGCGCAACAATGATTCACATTCACACTCTGTGGGAAAACTCAAAGCGGCAGCTATCCAGCGACGACGATGAAAAATGGCCTAATGCGTTTTAGCAAATGTTGTAACATTTAATCCACAGTGCTGTTGCAGAGCATGATAAAGGGCAAAAAAACAATGGGAACATGAACTAAAGGTTTTGCTGAATCTAAAGTGAGCTTATTTTCATATTACGGTCTACATCAATCAGGCATAACATTATGACCACCTCCTTGTTTCTACACTCATTGTCCATTTTATCAGCTCCACTTACTATATAGGTGCACTTTGTAGTTCTACAGTTACAGACTGTAGTCCATCTGTTTCTCTGATACTTTGTTAGCCCCCTTTTACCCTGTTCTTAAAGTGGTCAGGACCCCCATGGATCCTCACAGAGCAGGTACTATTTGGGTGGTGGATCATTCTCAGCACTGCAGTAATACTGACGTGGTGGTGGTGTGTTAGTGGGTATTGCACTGGTCTGAGTGGATCAGACACAGCAGTGCTGCTGTGTATATGTCAGCAAAGGCAGGAATGCAGTAATGTGCATACATTAACATGCAGCATGCAGCAAAGTTCATTTCAGTTCATTTGTGGGTGTGTTTGGTCCCCAAACTTACTGTGAAATGTATTTGGCATCCCCCCATGATGTAGTCCAGGAAAGAGTAGAGTCTGTGAAGCTGCGGAATAGAGAGTTCAGGTTAAGTCTGAGAAAGAACACCATGACCTGCCTGGCTGAACTGCAGGCCAATCTGTCCACAGCAAAGCTAAGGATGGATGCTTGAAATTGACCTATCCACGCTCTGTCCGCAGGCTGGACAAGCTTTACAGGAGAAAAACTAGCAAAAATCCAATTCAGCTTACTGAGAAATTGTAGTGCACTTTATTCTACATGATGTTGAGCTCCCTACACAAAAAAAACATCTGATCTATCCTATATGTGTGATTTTTTACTTGCATTAAAAATTTATATCGGAAAACTAAGAAATTTTCCTCACTTTTGAAAAAAAAAGTTTGTGCATCTAAATGTAGCATCTGAACTGTCACTTTACTTCCCAGTCCATACAATGCATATAAGGAAACAGGGAAGGTGTTTTAAGTTGCGAGTGCTGAAATTTTTAGCAGCGTATATGTGGCGTAACCGATGACGCCCACAGTCACACACTGAGATTTAATACTGAGACCGTGAGTGGGAGATATAATGGTTGATTTCATCATTTAAGATCATTATTTTTAAGTTTAAAAAGCGATATTATGCTGCTTTGGGACTCAGTAAAGGTCTGTAAAGTCACTTTTTCCCTGTTACCAGCTATTTCGTTTTCCACTGCAGATATAGTGCCCCCTCAATGTAGCCGTCGAAGCGAAATGAAATTGCCGTCATGTGAAGGAGACAAATTTTGTTCAGAAGAGGCAACGAGACAAAAGACTGCTGAAAAACAGGAGAGTTCGGGAAAAACCACATCAGAGTTCAGACGACGAGACGATTCTGGTTACTCAAAAAAGGTGATGCAAGCAGCTGCGCTAACCTGATAGCTAACGTTAGCAATTCATTCTGACCCATCGGTAGTCTGTAGCCATTTTTACATCACCTTTTTTTTATCGGCTCGGCTCAGCTCTCTTGGAACCTTGACAGAGGTGATACCAAAAACGGTACATGTTACTGGTACCGGAGTCAAGTCGAGCCGGTACCATGCAGCGGAAAAGCGGTTTAACACTGCATAGCCTTTCTCTCTTTGCAGCTCACCCTGCATGTGTTAGAGCGACACGGCCCCAAAGCGGTCAACAGTTTTCAGCTCACTGGACCGAGAAAACAGCGCTCGCTTAAACTACTGCAGATTTTTACAATATAAAAATATAAACTCTCTTAAACAAGCACACATGGGTCTTTATTATGCTCAAATTATAATTCCAGAATGTTTTATTATTATTATTATTAATTTTAACAGTTGCAGCCCCCTCAGCACCCCAACTTCCCACATCCCTGTAAGGAAATTTATATGCAAAATATCTGATTTTGAATTCCTTTTTTTCTACTATCTCAAAAAACAACTCTATAACATATATCTGCCTATTCAGTCTACCGCAGTTTAGCCCCGCCCATTCACACTAACGTTACAAGTAGCGTTTCAGCCCAGACTGCAGGCCAATCAGAACTGAGATCATTTACATGTCAGTCTTAAAGGTACAGTAACAAATTATGACTGTTTTCGGTGCATATTGGTAAGTGGGTATCAGGGAGAGAACAAATACAAGACAAATGGTCCTTAAACGAAATCCAGGTACATCCTCTCTATCACACACACACACACACACATACACACACATACTTGTGGAATCTAAAAGGGAACTGTTTGAACAAAGACACTGTTCAAATGAACATGGCTTTGTTTTGAAATTAATCCAAATGAACAGGATCAAAAGAGTATCAACACAACAAGGTCATGGGAGACCAAAGCAGCTCTGTCAATTAAAAATGCTCCTTTTTAAAAAAGGCACACCAGTGAGAACAACAGCATCCACCCACTCCTCTGCTGCTGCCGCTGGGGCTCAGATAGTTGCCACACACTCCCATATTAATAACAGTATCTTCCCTTTAATGTTTACACACTCCTGTGGCAGCGTTATCACATCATTAGCCTTGTCTTACCTAACATATTGTCTGCAATACAATTCAGAATCGTGTGCGTGTCCACATTGGCCATAGTAAAATTTCACAATTGGAGCTTTCACTGTGTTATCATGGTTTCTATCATTATATGAAAAGCACCATGCTGCCTTTAATGTTGGAGCCACTGTGACTGTGAGTTTTTGAGACAGTGTTCACACTCAGTTCACATTCAGACCTGAATTTAGCTCGCTAAGGGCTTGTTATTGATTTGTTACAACAGAAGGTGACTGAAGTGTGAAGTAGATTTCTATTCATGTGCTTCCTTGCTCAAAATGATAGTTTGTGACATCAACAAAACATGTAGGCCCATTTTTTAGTTCCTTGCTCTCACAACTAAACATAGCCAGGTGAAGAATTAAAGGAAAAACCTGAATAATTTAGTGAAGAAACAAAATGAGTGCAGATGCTTCCAGTTGTTCACAATACAGTTAAGCAATTTCCATTCTATCATGCTATGTGGAATGTATTTAATGCCATGCAAGTCCAGTTGACCTTGATTTTGCATCAAGATAGTAAGAGGAAAAGATCTAAGTGACTTTGAATGTAGGTTCATTATTGGGGCACAGATGACAGAATCTGTGGGAAAACATCAGTACATAGGCTTGGAAATTGCAGTTAAAAGCAATATGTAAGAAAACCATTCCTCAGTTGACTAAGCATGTCAATGCAGGATGTGATCTGAATGTGTGGCATGAACAACTACATAGAAAGACTGTGGCAACAGCAACAACTACAGCCCTATTTCTAAAAAAGCTGGGACGCTGTGCAAAATGTAAATAAAAACAGAACGCAATGATGTGCAGATAACGTAAACTCTATACTTAATTGAAAATGAAAAACAAAGGCAACATATCAAATGTTGAAACTGGAAGTTTTATTGTATTATTGGAAAATATATGCCTATTTTGAAGTTTATGCCAGCAACACATTCCGAAAAAGTTGGGATGAATAGTGCAACAATTCAAGAATAACGTTTCTCAACATGAAATAGCAAAAAACTTGGGGATTTCATCATCCACAGTACATAATATCATTAAAAGATTCAGAGAATCCAGAGAAATGTATGCAAGGGACAAGGCTGATAACCAATACTGGCTGGCCATGATCTTCAGGCACTCAGACGGCACTGCATTAAAAACTGACGCTATTCTGTAGCAGAAATCTCTGCATGGGCCCAGGAGCACTTCCAAAAACTGTCATTGTCTATGAAAACAGTTCCACAAACGCAAGTTAAAACTCTACCTCGTGAAGAAGAAACAAAATATAAAGAGGATCCAGAAATGCTGCCGCCTTCTCTGGGCCTGAGCTCAGTTAAAATGGACTGAGGCAAAGTGGAAAAGTGTCCTTTGGTCCAGTGAATCAAAATTCAAAATTCTTTTTGGAAATCATGGACACTGCATCCTCCAGGCTAAAGAGGAGAGAGACCATCCAGCTTGTTATCAGTGCACAGTTCAAAAACCAGCATCCGTGATGGTATAGGGGTGCATTAGTGTATATGGCATGGGTGACTTGCACATCTGTGAAGGCAACATTAATGCTGAACGATATATGCAGGTTTTGACAACAAATACTGCCATCCAGTCGACGTCTTTTTCAGGGACGTATTACAACACGTTACAACAGCATGGCTCCATGGTAGAAGTGTCTGGGTGCTGAACTGACCTGCCTGCAGTCCAGACCTGTCACCCATTGAAATTTGATTTGATTTGTTGTATTTGTAGTATTTTCAATTAAACATAAGCTTTAAATGATTTGCACATCATTACATCCTGTTTTTATTTACCTTTTGCACAGCGTTCCAACTTTTTTGGAAACTGGGTTGTACATAGAAAGGGATATTATAGCTGTAGCACACAAACCCCTCGTTACGAAGACAAATGCACATTTAAGAGCTCAGTGGCATAAAAGCTGGAGGAACCAGTCTAAAGAGATGTGGAAAATAGTGATACGGTCAGATGAGTCATCCTTCACCATGTTCTTTACAAGTGCACGTGTGGCCACGCTCCAAGAGAATGGTACAGGCCTGAACGCTTGACCCCTACTGTGAGGGCGTTTGGTTGCTCTGATGTGCTGTGGGGGCATTTGCTGACATGGTTTGGGTCCATTTGTCCCCTTAGAGGTAGAGGTCACTGCAAATCAATCCAGTGATGAAATATTTCTATGCCGGAGGGAGCGAAGTCTTCCAGGATGACATTGTCTTCATCCACAGGGTATGGGCTCGCTGAACGGTTTGATGAGTATGTAATTAAAGTAGATCATATGCTGTGGCCTTCACAGTCACCAGATCTCAAACCTGCCTATGGGAGATTTTGGACTAATGTATTTGACAGTGCTCTCCAAAACCATCAAGTGAGGGAATATCTTTTGGAAGAATGGTGTTCCATCCTCCCAGTACAGTTCCGGATACTGTAGAATTCATGGCTCAGCGCCTTTTAAGGACAATTTATGTAGGTTTTTCCTTTAATTTGTCACCTATACCTCACATATTACTTTTATAGTACACTCTTAAAAAGATGGTTATCTATATTCTATATAGAACCATTTTCTTTACTAAAGAACCCTTGAAGAACCATCTTTTTTAAACGGGTCTTTGCATTATGAGAAGATTCCTCAGATTGATGGAGAATGTGTTGTTTATAGATGAAAAGGGTTCTATGTTGCACCAAAAAGGTTTCCTATTATGACGATATCAAGCTTGTAACAGTAGAAGAACCCTTTTTGGTGCTATATATATATATATATATATATATATATATATATATATACACTTTTCAAAAAGGTTCTATATAGAACCATATACAACACATTCTCCATGAGTCTGAAGAACCCTTTCATGATGCAAAGAACCCTTCAATTACGCAAACGGTTCTTTGAGTGTGCATGGTTCTATATAGAACCATTTTCTGTTACTAAAGGAACCCTTGAAGAACCATCTTTTTTAAACAGATCTTTGCATTATGAGGAGATTCCTCAGATTGATGGAGAATGTGTTGTTTATAGATAAAAAGGGTTCTATGTAGCACCAAAAAGGGTTCCTATTGTGATGATGTCAAGCTTGTAACAATAGAAGAACCCTTTTTGGTGCTATATATCAACGCTTTTCAAAAAGGTTCTATATAGAACCATATACAACACATTCTCCATGAGTCTGAAGAACCCTTATATGATGCAAAGAACCCTTTAATCATGCAAAGGGTTCTTTGAGTGTTCATGGTTCTATATAGAATCATTTGCTACTTAGTTACTCAATAATAAGCTTTATTATTGAAACCTGAATAAGTCTCAAGTCCGAAGTTTTAACAGAGAAGAGTGGAAATAAATGTTTTTTTGCCTCAGCAAAGATCTTTTCAGAAAGTTTCTATAGCTCTTACCTTGAGATCAGTGAGAATGACCAGGCCAGAGTTTTTGTAGTTCTTCTTCTTTAGTTTGTACTTTGGGTTGACACATTCCCAAGTGACCTTCGGGAGCAAAAGGAGAGAATGGAGAGAGGCAGGCTGAGCCTTGTCAGGGACATTGTTGCTCATTCACTTTTACCACACACACACAGGTTTGGTTTTTATACAGTGTCGAGACGAGGGGTCTTACATATGTCCTATATGTGTTACATCTATTAAACACCTGCATATCGCTGTTGTCGGAACAAAACCTTGTATCTCTATTTTTGTTGTTTTTCTGTTTTTGACATGATTTGAAAACACTTGTTACTCTTTACATTGTGTGTAAATGGACCAAAGTAAACGCCTCAAAATCACTTGGAAAAAATTCTGGTTCCATTGACTTACATTAAAAGTAAAGTGTGTTTTTTCCTTCTCCTGTAAAGTTGGCATTTTGGAGATACAAGATTTTGTTCCAACAACAGCGATATATAACAAGCACTTTCTGAGCCTAACCCTAAACCCAACCCTATTTTTAACCTTAGTAATCACAAATAAATTGTTTTTTCCACATTGTTGGTTCTAATATTGCAGTGTCTCCTTTTTTTCCTCTGGTTTTCATACAAAGTCGGGACATTTTCGTCCTCAAAATGTACAAAAACAAACACACACATAAACACACACTATATTCACCAGCACACAACAGGGCATGGCATTTCTTTTCATCCATTCCTGCCTCCCTGCGAGAAAATGGCCCCTCTGTGACACACATCAAACGCAGGCGTGTGTGACCGTGCATCTCTCTCACTGACCTTGTTTCCTCCAGAAACTTTCTGCATTTCTTTGAACGTGGCATAGAATTCACCGATGAAGTCGTGCTTCCCCCTGGAGTCATAATCCCACACTAGGCACTGCGGGTGGCACCCAGAGCAAAATGATTTCAGACAGAACCTCTGATTAAATGCATGTATGTCCTTTTGGTTATTTGCTTCCTTTTTTGCTGATTCGCTCATAAATGTATTCATTCTCTTACGCACCCTCAACTTTCTGTCCTCGTCGCAGCTGCATAGAGATATCAAGGAGACTTTAAAGGGCTCCCAAACAGGGTTCAGGTTGTTCTTGATCACCTGTGACAGATATCAGCACCATTAAAGAAGCATTTCACTGGTATTAAACCTAATCTCTGTCTGCCGCAGCTATAGTGTTTGGTAAGTTACCAAAGATAATAATCTTGATTTCCCTGTCCATAGAAAAGAACACAACCAAATGAGTGGTGAGAGGCAAGCCAGCAACTGGAACATCGTGAGCTCAAATCCCAGGACTGTGTTCCTAGTTGCCCCCTTGGGCAAGGCACTTAGCCCCTTACTGGCACAGGCAGTATTGCTCTGCCGATGACACTGTGCTGTTCCTAGACTGGGCATAGTTAGGCAGCAAAATGGTGTATCAATACAGCACATAATAAAAGGTTATAATGGAAACTATGCAGCTGTTGCTGAATTCAGTGAATGTTTATGCAAAACAGATTACAAAATTGTAAAATGTACTTGTAAATTAAGCTGTAAATGTGTATAATTAATTTCACAGATGGGAGTTTTCCAGAGGGAAGATTCTGTGACGATATGTAGTGGTGTAGTTTTCACAGACTCCACCTGTTCGCCAAAGTCCTTAGAAGCAAATGTAACTGGAACTGCTTTTTTTGTGACAGTGTTGGTTCTCCTTTTCTCATTGGTTGTAGTGTTGAGTTTGTGTTTAATAGTCACAAATTTCAAGCCTGTTTTCAGACCAGTGGCTTCTGTGAACCTCTTTCTGCAGGCCCCCTAGTGGCCGTTCTGCCAGTGTAATGGAAATAAATTTGGATATTTTTAACTAATACAAAGAATTTTATCCCCTGTAACTCTGTTAACAGAATAACTAGGACACGTTTGGCTCTCTGTGTGTAAAATGTTCTGATTCTGTGTTGAGCTGCTAGCAAGCAATGAAGGGTGACAGGGGAGGGGTGAGAAACCCCGGCAGCTTTCTTCATATTAAAAAACCACAATAAATAACAGCATTTAAATGCAATAAAAAAGAGTTTTATAAATATTGACTTGCTTGCTCACCAACAATAATCCAGTTCCAGTTTTGTAAACCACACACATTTCCATTAAAATATATTTTATCAATGTTGTTGAATGAAAAGAATATCATGAGGACTTCCAAAACAGGTGGAGATTGCATTGTATAGCTACTGTGAGAAAAGGCCGAAAGAGAGTTCTAAGTCATTTTTTGCTCTTTTCTAGTCCAGGGAATTGAAATGAAACGATTATCCATGGCAATCGATCAGACTATCCAGGTGTGGCGGATAGAGATTACATTGAAACAATGTATTTTAAAAAATACAGAGAAATCAGTCTTAAAGAAGCAGTGCAACTCACCTCAGTCCGATGTACAAGCTGTTCTGTCCCGTCATCGTTGACCCGATAAATCTCCAAGAAGGGGTCGGACTTGCTGAAGAGATCCTGCAACACAGTCGCACACAATGTGCTGCAGTTAGGCACGAATTAAGTGGTGCAAATGAAACAATGCTCCTCATGGGTTTTGTGGGTCCTGTGCAGCAGGAAATTGAATGTAGTTTCCAGTCATTTGTCATCGTTCATTTTCTGCTATCGTGCCTTTGTTTTTGCTAACAGCTATAACCAATCTATCCAGGGGAAACTGGTGTGAAACAATCATTTGACATGAGGTTTTGAGTCAGTGCTCTCAGAACAGCATTAGTAATCAGTCTGGGGCGATTGATTCCGCAGGACACAGAGGACTTGACTGTCAGTGTATGAATGTGTGAGAAAGGACTGGAAAGGAAATGATGGGAGACGACAGAAAAGAGCTAAAAAAGAGATGTGGGTCAGAATGAGCTGTTAAATGTCCCCTTTTTGCGCTGCATTAGCCTGCTACATCTCCACAGGGATGGGAAAAACAGGAGGTACCCCCACTATCTGGTTGTCAAGGTAACGTCTTGCCAGTGGCTTGAGTGCATACTGATTTAGACAAGTGATTTGTCCATGTTCCGTCCCCGTCCGCACTCAGAGTTTCCATCATTTGCACAGTCATCACCGGAATCACACCTGACAACCGAATCACTAAGTGCCAAGTTCAGCGTGATTACATTTGACTGAGCGTTCTTTATCCTCCTCGAGGCATGTCGAAGACGCCGTTACCTCAAAAAAACGAGCACTGTAATGATATCATTAACAGAAAAGTCTAGGCCGCATTTATCTTCTAATCTTTTCTAAGGTCTGATGGTGGATATAATTCTCGTTGTGGTCTCAGATATACGCCAGAGAGTCTGCTGAGGTGTGAAGAGGCATCAGTCAATCCAGCATCAACAGGCAAATGCACTCAGAACATTATTGACCACATTTCTTTCCTGACAAATGTGGTTAAAGTGCTTCATTTCTTCCGTTCAAGATGCAACTTTTCAATCTGAATGAGTGATATGAAATTCAAATGAGATACCTGGTTGTCAAAACAAAGCTAATAGGCCGTTTTGGGGAAGGTATAATTATGTCCATTTAGGCTTGGCCTGCTAACGTGTCCATTCTATTTTAGTCATTGCAGGGAAAATAATGAGACACTCAAAGCCATTTGAACAGACAGATCTTGTCCGAAGATTGCAGCTCGGCCATTATTCTGTCTGGACATTAAGCGGAATTCATCTTCTGACGCATGTGCCCAACTACAGCCTGATTGCCTTGGATTTCTGGCAGATCTGTGAGTGTATGATAACTGTGAGCTGCGCACCATACTTGGCTAAAATGAGTCATTTTATATTAAAATGTTTCGTCGACTCTTTATGGGTTCATGAAGCTGCCAACTACAGGACATTGATCAGGAATAATGAACATAGTAAATGAATCTTAATGAACAATCTATAGACAACGGAGTGCAGTCCTTGAAGAAGTGGCATGATAAAACAAGCACTCTCAGCGGTGCTACTGCTTTAGCCATGGCAGAGAAAAAGCACGTAACTGACAAGGCCTTAGGCAGTGAGAGCAGTGAGAACAACCTCCACACAAGCTTTATGATAAGTGGCAATTAAGTCCTCAGCAACAATAAACTACAGCTGTTATGCAAGAGCATCGTTAAAACTACAGGATCAACGGGACTATATTGGAAAACGCAGCTGATGGCAAAGATCACAGATGATGAACGTATGGATTTGTTTTTTTTATTTCCTTATGGAATTTGCCATCATTAGCCTTTCAGATTTGGGTGCCTGATGCTCTGTCAGTTAGGCTGATGGGCTCAACATTCAGAAGGAAATAAATAACATGCATCTGCCTCGCTTCGGATTTCATGAATATGTAATGCGGCTGTACGGTGTGAACGACTCCCCAGCCCCGAAAGAATAAAGGTGCCTTCAAAGTCGGCTTCATGAGGCCATGGGGACCTGCCTGTGCGAGCGCAGACCAGATTTGCAGGCAGATTGTTGTTCTTTTTTCAAAACGCGGTAGAGGTTTCGCGAGTGAGTGGCATTCCAGGTCTTGAGAGCAGAAATCTCCGCCGGAAGGTCTACGTGGGCGAACTGGCTGCTTGCATTTAAGCTGCCCAAATCTGAGCCACTTCACTGGCAAAACAAGCAAGCGGCACACTCTCACGGCCTCACCGCAAATTCCAAATGCCATCTCTGGCTTCCAGACTTGGCTGCTACTGGTATATGAGGAATTGCCACTAGACTAGCTCGAAGTGAGCAAGATCAATGATCTCCCGCAGATATCGACATGCTGTCACCCCACGCTACTTGAGATGCATGAATTCAGATGGAACAGTGTTAGCCAAATGAACAAAACGCTGCGTTTCACAGATTATCACTCCGCACAAGCGTGGCCTCGGGCAAATGCGAGCGAAGCGGGTGGGGGGCGGTGGGGTGGAGAGCATATGAAAGGGAAGCGGAGGGAGGAACTCATACAGAAAAATGGAGATAGAAGAGAGGAGGAGGAAGAGGGAGGGGAGAAAGCTAGAGGAGTGGAGAGAGTGGGAAGAAAGAGGCGCAGAGGGGTTTGTGTACAGTGCGGTGGTGCTACAGGTGTAGAGGACGCCTGAGGAACTGCAGGGCGTGGAGAGCTCAGCTTGGGCCGATGTGTGGTAGAGTCAGCCACTGCATTATAAAGGTATATTCTTCAAATATAATAGTCATTTTGATGAACAGAGGTAGCCCAAAACCCTCCTTTTCCTGCCCTCAACCCTGTCAGGCCAATCTTGCTAGAGAGCTTTCATTTTGATCATAGGGTTCTAACTTAAAGTACCTAAAATTCCATCTGCCAACAGTCACAGATACCTGTCCACTTCCAGACCCTAATAATGTCAATTTAGTTCGAGTGGTAGATCATAAACATTATTCAGAATCTATTAGGCAATGAAAAGCCTCTTTCAGCCCTGCATCTACCTATCTTGAGAGGTCTGTATTCAGTGATTTAGAGGGGAGAGACTGAGATAAATTTGTTCCACATCTGGCAAAAGGAGTGTGAAGGTAAAATTGCAGTGAGCACCTGTGCATGCAAAGTGTTTTGAGTTTTGAGTAAAAGAAAAACATTCTCTTACCTTATCGTCCAACTTCTTGGCACAAAAGGAGAGTTCGACGTATCCGTTGTTGCCAGAAATCTCCTCGGCGTGAATCTTGGGACATAACAGTGCACTTGATTTAATACTTTTTGTGTGTTTTTGGTTGTGAGCCATGTGAAGTTTTAGCTTTGTTTATACTGTAGATTCTGTATCCTAATCATAAAAAGCCTGGGTCAGCTCCAGATGACAGCATTCCTGAGGCACTACTGAGTTGGTTCTCTCATTTTAGAGAAGGTATATTCTTCAAAGTTTCTTTTATTTGATTGCCAAATGCAAAAGGAACACCTCTGAAAGGATTAAACGTATATTTTGTGGGTCCAATTTTGACACAGTAAGCATTTTTTTCAATAAAGGGAAATATGTGACCAATATGAGACAGTAAACAAGAAGTGGGATTTTAATGCTTTCAGCCAAGCACTTTGTGGCCACACTATGCTGGCCAGAGCAATCATATTCTACTACACTCAATTACACACTGCAGTTGTAGCAGATCTAGATATTTTTCTTGGTAAATCGACAGAATATTACTTGATTAGTAGCATAATCAATAGCGACAGCTCGACATGCAGTGTATTTGTGCTTTTAAGCAAAATATACAGTCAGGTCCATTAATATTTGGATATTGACAAAGTTCATGTTATTTTAGCTGGCTGTCTACTACAGCATACTGAAGTTGAAATTAAACAATGAATATGAGCTTAAAGTGCAGATTTTCAACTTTAATTTCAGGGCATTTACATCCAAATCAGGTAATGTGGATTATATCCTAGGGGCTCAGAAGTAATAGAACAAACTATTAATTGTGCATTAAATTGTAATTTTTCGTACTTTGGCTGCAAATCCATTGCAGTGAATGACTGCCTGAAATCTGGAACCCATAGACATGGGTGGGTTTCAGATACTGGTTTTTTATGCCAGACTTTTACTGCCACTGTCTTCAGTTCCTGCTTGTTCTTGAGCCATTGTACCTTCAGTTTTGCCTTCAGTAAGTGAAATGCATGCTCAGTTTGATTGAAGTCATGCAGACCTGACCATTGCAGAACATTACACTTCTCTACCTTGCAAAAGGCTTGGATTGATTTTGCAGTATGCTTTGGGTCATTTTACTTCAGCACTGTGAAATACTGTTTAATGAGTTTTGAAGCATTTGTCTGAATCTGAGCAGATAATATAGGGCTATATGCTTCAGAATTCATGCTGCTGCTTTTACCAGCAGTCACATCATAAATAAATGCAAGGGAACCAGTTCCACTAACATGCCTATGCCATAACACTACCTCCACCATGCTTTACAGATGAGGTGGCGTGTTTTGATCATGAGCAGTTCCTTCCGTTCTCTGTACTCTTCACTTCTCATCATTCTGGTTCAAGTTGATCTTTGTCCCACCTGTCTATATGGTGTTTTAGATTTTATTGGCAAATTCCAATCCGGTCTTCCTATTTTTGAGGCTTATGAACAGTTTAGATCTTGTAGTAAACCCTTTGTATGTACTCTGGTGACGTCTTCTCTTGATTGTTGACTTTGACGCAGATACACCTACCTCCTCAAGGATGTTCTTGATCTGGCCAAGTGTTGTGAAAGATTTTTTTCTTCACCTAGGTAAAAATTCTTCTGTCATCCACCACAGTTGTTTTCTGTGGTCTTTCAGTCCTTTTGGTCTTTCTGCGTTCACCCATGCGTTCTATCTTTTTAAAAAAGATCAAATAGTTGATTTGGCCACAACTAATATTTTTTTCTTTCTCTCTGATGTGCTTTGTTTTGTTTTGATTTTTCAGCCAAATGATGGTGTACTTCACTGGCAATGAAAACTCTTTGGATTTCATATTGAGAGATAACAGCAACAGATTCCAAATGCAAATTCCACACTTGAAATCAACTGTACATCTGCTTGGTTGTAAGTAAAATAATGAGGGAATAACACACACCTGGCCATGGAAGAGATTGGGGGGAGGTATGGTTGAGCATGGTTGTTTGTTCCTACATATTTATCTGATTTGGATGTAAATGCACTAAACTTAAAGCTGAAAGTCTAAGCTTTGAGCTCATATTCATCATTTAATTTCAACTCCAATAGGCTGTGTATGACAGCTAACATAATAACCTTGTCAGTGTCCAAATATTTATAGACCTGGCTGTAGTTAAACTGTGCCTCCTTGACAAAGTAAAGTTAGATTACTAAATGCAAAGCAGTTACAAATTCATTATTGTCTTTCAAAATGAATTGGTTTTTCCATCTGAATTTACATGACCAAATCATAAGGCAAATTATTCAATAACTGCATGAAATAAATGTAAATTTTTATTTTGTTCATTTATTTATTCTTTGTAAAAGCTCCCCTCAAATTAACAGAACATGTGTTTTATGATCATACACATATTGCTGTATGCTTACAATTAACTGCTGAAAGCCAAAAATCTTAGACGCTCTTTGTATTTTTTTATTTGTTTATAGCCCAGATTTGTGGAAAAATGGGTCGACTTTCAGTAGACAAAAAATTGTGAGTTCAGCTTCTTTTATTATAAGGGTTTAAAATTACATCACCCATCTATTTGACTGGAAAGAAGACAGTTACAGCTCTCATACGACCCCCACCTTTAGAATGTAGCTTATGAAATATGAAAGCTATAAAGAATATGACGAAGAGAGTTTTGGAAACAGCGGTGGTCCCAAGGAGTTGAAGAGGTTAAATGTAATCTGATGACTGGGTGTTATCTTGGGTAAAATGAATTTATGTTGCAGATTAGACATAAAATTCTTTTCATATGTCCATAAAGACACACAAGGGAGAAATATGTCAGTCACTGAAGAAAGAAAAGAGTAAAAATGAGGGGATGTGAAGAGCAAACTAGCAAATCATGTAGTCAGGACCAAAAACCCATTAACATGTCAAAAAAGTATAAAGGTTGATGGTTCCAGACGCCTCATTGCCCATTTCTTCGCATAGAGCAAAATGTTCAGAAGATGTCCTTGACAGTTTTGGACAGTAGAAGAGCTACGAGGAGGAGAGTTTTAAAGCAATAAAGTAATTATGTCAGCGGTAAAAATCTACAACCAGTGTGGAATCTAATGAGGGAGACCTTGGAGTCCATAGGTCATTATAGTGGGTGTTGAAAAGTCAGGAAAAGGCCACCTGTCTAAAACATAGTCAAGTGCAGCAGCTGTAAACTGATGAGCAAGCAAAGCGCTGCGTGTGTGGGCTTTTAAGCATCATCTTACTAAGCTGAAATAAGCAAAACTATTTTTCAAAGCTGTTTTAGTTGTGTGCGGTTTGATTGCACATGGCACATGAGAAAGCAAGGAGTTAGAAATAGCCAGTGAGAGCTTTCAAACATTTTGCAGTTTTTGGAAGAATTACAAAAGTGGTAGATGCACAGAAAATATGCCAATGCCTTCCATTTCCAGCAGACTAATCAGTTGCATATTATCCCAATAGATCAGCCATCTTTTTCCAGAAACACATTAATTTTTTTTTTATATAAACTAGGCCACTGGTCTGAAAAGAACTATAAGGCTACAGTAACATTTTTCTAAGCAGCTGCTATCACATGCACCAGCAAATCTCATCCTTACAGCCCAGTCCCTGGGTCATTTTAAGCCAGGGAGTGAACTCACTAGAACTGCAACTTCAGCTGTACTTAAAGACAGAGTCAAACGCTTTGTAAAGGGCTGCTGTGTGACAAAAAACACAAAACCTTTACAGAATCACCCTTATTCAAATGTTTTGCTGGGGCTGCAGGTGGAAGATTCACTTCCATGGAATTTTGCAAGTCTAGTTCTGCTACCTGTAGGAAGCCACTAAGCGAAGCAGAGCCTGAGATAATTGGAGCAATTCACCTTCTCCGCCCGAATGCTCTGAAAACACCCCGGCTCACATTCATATCTATTAACACATTAATTGAGGGCCTCGGAAAACACACCTCTGCCGACAGTGTTCTCTTTTGAGTAGTGCGTTGGCCTGACAGATGGTGTTTGCTCTTTTTTTTCCAACTCCCAACCTCCTCTTCATCTCTCTCTGTTCGCCTGAGGTACTTCAGCCTATTGAGCTCTCATGAAATGGTTTGTTTTTGTTTTCCGTTCTCAGTAATCTTTTGATGAATAAATCAAAACGGAGCAAATTGTAATATTATGAGATGCAGAAATGTACCTAAGGACTTTTTCTTCTACAAAAGAATGTGTGTTAATGAAAGCACAGAGGCAGCTTGTCTGGTAATACCAACTGGACATGCTGTATCAGAACTGATAAATCAGAACACAACTTACCGTGATGGTGGATTTTCCGGCATATTTTCCGTATTTCAGTAACAGAGGCTTCACCATCTTTTTCTGCGCCACTATCTGTTGGACAGATTTGTAGAAAGTGTTTATGCGTGGAATGTAAAAATGAAAACCATGGTATAGAATAAAATGCACTTTAGAAACACCTACCCCGACCAAGTTATGGGGTCCCACAGCCTTATAGCTCCATTATATAGGTGTATAATTGCAGACTGCAGTCCTATTGTCATGTACAGTTAGCCAGTCAAACTCTATTTATCATTGGTTTCTGGTTGCTGGGTGGCTGGTACAGCATATGAAAAAACCCAAATATGGATGATAAAGATCTAGAGCTACTTATTCAAGAGTGAATCAGCCACATTTATGGCCATTCATCAAAGGTCTACTCATTCAGGAAATCTGCTGATTTATCTTCCCACAACATACAGCGCATTCCTAAAGTGCAGCAATTACAAAATAATGCATGCAGACCTTTCTATGTAACTCGATAGCCTCTGATATGAGGTGCGTACAGGAAGGAGCATCAGCACACAAACCTTAATTTCACTTTGTTTTTGCCAGCTGCCACTATAGAAGTAGAGGGTTTGTGGGGCATTAAGATTGGATGGTGGGGCACTGCCTCACTAAATGACCTTCTGATGCCGAGCCAGGTCTTTAATGCTGGGCACACGCAGCAAGCAGTAGTAGCGCAAACAAAGTTTAGTTTCACTTTGTTTTCCTGCTGCTCATAGAAGTATGTTTAAAGAGTAGAGGGTTTAGAGGGGCACGATGATTAGTTGGTGGGGCATTGCACCAATAAATGACCCCCTGATGTCTGGGTGCTGCTGGGGTTTTTACACAACTCTGAATCAGTACTAGGTCCAGAACAGTCTGCCAACCATAAATATCCACCCTAAAGCAGTTCTCTGGTCAGAAACTGACCACTGAAGAAGAGCTAGAGCAGTGGTCACCAACCGTGGTCCTGGAGATCTGCGAAGGCTGGACCCAACCACGGTCTGCCACACCTGCTACAGCTAATGAGCTTCTTCACAAGTTCCTGATCACTGCCTGTGGGTCTCTTTTTCGAGCTCAACAACTGCCCGTCCTGTGCGTCTGATGCTGTTGCTTCTTCTTCCTTGATCAGGTAACCATTGCTCGCCAGCCTTCTGGACCAGTTTGACCATCATGAACCTTCCTGCTGTACAATGCTGTACAAACCTCACCTGCATGAACTGACCCTCCTGATGCTGCTGCATCTTTGTAAACATAGACATTGCTACTCCTGCTTTTCCCCATTTTCTGTATGTTATACTAATAATCAGATCTTATTCACTGTTATTGTTTGCTATCTGGTGTCGACCAGAGGAGGATGGGTTCCCCTTTTGAGTCTTGGTTCCTCTCAAGGTTTCTTCCTCTTGCTTTTAGGGAGTTTTTCTTTGCCACTGTCGCCACTGGCGACGCTCATGTGGGCTTGGACCCAGATTTTTCTGTAAAGTTGCTTTGTGACAACACCCGTTGTAAAAAGCGCTATATAAATAAACTTATTGTAGGTTGGAACTAAAATCTGCAGGAAAGAAGATTTCCAGGACGAGGGTTGGTGACCACTGGGATAAAGGCTAGAGGATCATGTTTTAAATCATCAACATTTTCTTATTGTACACTAGCAAGGTGGAGCTACAAGGTAAGCGTTTTTAATAAAGTGGCTGAGTGTAAATGCAAAATCAAGAATGCTGAATATCTCACCTGGCCAAGTGTGCACTCCACGCCACCCAGGAAGTCGTCATCGCGAGTTCCAATGCTGTGGGTTCCATGAATGTCGTAGACCTCAAAGCGCAGCTTCTGCACTTCCTCGAAGTAGTAGTCCAGCAGTAAGACCTTGGCAAAGACTGGGTTCAGGTTACTCTTGATGACCTCTGTGCGATCCAGCTGAATGATGAAAAAGAGAACAATGACCAGACCATTCAGGCAAAGTCATAAAAGCAGCCAATGGCCACATTAGAGGCTCTGATTTCTGCTGAGACCAAATCCAACTGAAAAAAGATATTTTGAATTTACTTGATTCAAACATGTACATAATTTCCACATGAATAAAATACAGAGATGATCAGAACTATAGGTGCAAGCAGGCATTAGACCCACCATTTTTCAGAGCACTGGGGTTTGATGTCTGACTGACTTTGGCCACTTGTTTTAAAAAATGCATGCACCCCTTGTACTTAACTCAACTTATTTTGACCGGCACCTAAATGAACGAAAGGAAGGTCTCTAAACTTGGCACAATTTGTCTTTTGGTTTACTTAATTTTCCTTATTTCCTCCTTATTTCTACGCTCATCGTCCATTTTATCAGCTCCACTTACTATATAGGTGCACTTTGTAGTTCTACAGTTACAGACTGTAGTCCATCTGTTTCTCTGCATACTTTGTTAGCCCCATTTTACCCTGTTCTTCAGTGGTCAGGACCCCCATGGACCCTCACAGAACAGGTACTATTTGGGTGGTGGATCATCCTCAGTACTGCAGTAACACTGACGTGGTGGTGGTGTGTTAGTGTGTGTTGTGCTGGTACGACTGGATCAGACACAGCAGTGCTGCTGGAGATTTTAAACACTGTGTCCACTCTATTAGACACTCCTACCTTGTCAGTCCACCTTGAAGATGTAAAGTCAGAGACGATAGCTCATCTGCTGCTGCACAGTTTGTGTTGGTCATCCTCTAGTCCTTCATCAGTGGTCACAGGACCAGCGCAACACCCTAACACACCACCACCACGTCAGTGTTACTGCAGTGCTGAGAATGATCCACCACCCAAATAGTACCTGCTCTGTGAGGGTCCATGGGGGTCCTGACCACTGAAGAACAGGGTAAAAGGGGGCTAACAAAGTATGCAGAGAAACAGATGGACTACAGTCTGTAACTGTAGAACTACAAAGTGCACCTATATAGTAAGTGGAGCTGATAAAATGGACAATGAGCGTAGAAACAAGGAGGTGGTCATAATGTTATGCCTGATCGGTGTTTTAATCAAGTAAACAGATTTTTTTTTATCATGCTTGAAGGCTGCATCTGAACAAATAATGTTTCTTATTGTGTATGTTTTTTGAAAAGGCTGCTGATATTATATAATACCAGTAGCTTCTTATGTAAAAACTGTATTGATTAGTCAGACCTGCAGAACTCTGTGCTCTAATCATTTTGATACATCATCACTGAAGCCAAACTGTTAAGATCTCTCATAAACACACATCCACACATCCACACACAAACGCAGCTGAGCAGATCGTGGCCTTGCTCTCCCTACGGGTTTACTCATCCCTCTAACTCACATCACCTTCACCTCCCTCCTCCCAACTTTCATATTGTTCACATGAGCATATGAAAACCCACCGAAGCAAACAGTCATTCTGAAGTACGTTTATTGTATTAAATCCTAAACTTATTGTGCTGCTCCTCTGAGACGGTGTAGGCTTCGCGACTGAATGCAAATTCATGAGTCATCATGTAATTCATCACTATATGAGAGATGTAATCTGAAAATGAGAGCGAACCAAGCATGCTAAATTATAAGATTAACACTCACGCATGCCTCTCGCAGTAGTAGAGTATCTGAACCAATGTTTCAACAAAAATGAAAGTGTGGGCTCAGTAGAGAGGAAGAAAAAGAGAGAAACAAAAGAAACCTTATCACTTGTGTTCTGTTTTCAAAATTTGCGCACAGTAGAACGAGTGGCAACTGAGCGCAGCCGTCGTTTCCCAAAAGCATATCTGAAAAGGTCATTTACCATCTCTGCGACAGTGAGGAAGAGGAACAGTTCATGCGTGCCCAAGCGGGTAATCAATCTCACTAACAGTATAATAGTGTCAGTGTCAAAGGCCTAACGTGTCTATATTACGCACATCAAGAGGAATGACCTCTCTCCATCAAGCATGTCAGAGCAGATCCGCAGTCCTTCCATTCCATCAATTATGCCTTTAGATGCATGTAGCACTGGCACAACACTGGACATTCCCAAGCTAAGCACCCAGAACTGTTAAACCATTTTCCCAGTGCAGTTTTAGGCCTAAGCGAAGGAATTCATGGACAAAAGGGAGTCGGTAAACTAGGGATGAGCAGTAAGACAGTATTTTATCGTTTATGTGAGAAATTACAACACAATATGCCTATCATGGAGATCTTCAGTACTTCTAGATCACTGAACAACTGCACATTTCATAACATGATTTACATCAATTGAATAGTTTCATTTCAAAATGCTGTATAGACATTTGGAACAATTTTGGATCTTTTTTTTTTGCAAGGAATAACAACTGACACATAATGCAAAACATGTTTTTACTCCTCTAATACAGGTGGTATTACATGTAACATAGCGTAAATATTTCTTGTATGAGTAAAGCCCACCCCAGCAGTGTATATCATTGTGGCGTGCACCCGCCCCCCGGGCCCCGATGGCGGCTGCGAGAAACTGTCGGAAGGCGGGGCCCGAACATCGAGCGGCCACGAACCCCGGCGAGGACGGCGGGGAGAGAGCCGCGAGTGGGTGGGGGGACAGAGCGCAAAGCTCGAGCTCCGAGTCACGCGAGTGACGGCGGGAGGAAGAGGAGGACGACGACGGTGCCGGCAACAAGAGGCACGAGGGCAAGGAGCGAGTCCCGAGCTCCGCCGAGCTGCCAGCTGGGGGCGGTGACGAGGACGCGGAGCAGCGAGCTCTGGTTCCCCCTTGGCTCTGGTGCCCATCTGATGCTGATCTGGCTGGCAGCGTGACGCCTTTTAAAAGAGCTGAGCGGGAACAGAGAGAGAAGGAGGGACGAGCAGCAGCAGCAGAGACTAAGGCCCAGTCCCATTTCTTCTTTTTAACCCTACCCCTTGTTTTCGAGTGTCACCCTAACCCCTTTGAACTGAGTTACAAGGGGTAGTGGTTGAAATCTTGCCCTACGAAATGGGACAACCTTCAAATTAAAAAAAAAATGCATTGATTCGTTAACAGCTACCAGCGCTGCTCAGTAGGCGAGCCAGCCCGTCTTCAGTGACCGCAGAGAAGGGAAAAGTTCAGCAACCTCGCTGCTGGGCTTTGGTTACACTTAGGGCATCTTATGCCTTCAAAGAGGGGGAATAAAACAGTTATTTATTATCGCCCACCGCTAAATCTTTGGTGATACGAAGGTGAAGTCAGCTATTCGCCAGCTTCTCGTTCGAATTTTCCCGTTCCACCTTAAATGGTGCAATAGTTGCGTGCAGCAGTTACATTCTGACGCTTCAGGTGTCAATACTGCCGGACTATTTAAGGTGGAACGGTAAGTTAGCTAGATAGCTACCGAAACATTAGCATGCTATTAGCGATTTTCATGCTTGTTATGAAGAAAACGACCATAATGCATTGAAACAACATTAAACTAGGATAATACCATAGTTATTGTAATTTTTTAATGGATAAAATTCTCACATTTGTGTGTTTGTTTGGTCTCTTGTTCAGCCATCTTGCCGGTTTTTCTTTTTTCTGATAACTCTCCGTTTGGAGCCTCTGAAAATTCTCGGTTTGGAGGGCCATGTAGCCCCAGCACTTCGCCCTACCCTTCCATTTCAACAAAAATTGGGACACCCTACCCCTAGGCGTGAACGCGCAAAACAGAGGGCTAAGGGCTAAGTGGTAGGGGCGAGGGGTGAAATGGGACTGGGCCTTAGTGAAGAGCTGAAAAGCTGAAGTCTAGCTGTCTGAAAAGTGGCCAGCTTAGCGCAGCGTTGGTTGTGTTGTGTTTGCTTTGTGGTTATTTGGGGGAGAATTAAAGATATGGTTGCTGCAACCCTGAACCCTGCCTCCTGCGTCCTCCTTGAGCCCGGGGTAGCACATGCTCTGCTACAATCATGAAAAAAAATCATGAAAGTGTTGTATAATTTATAAAGTGTGTTGGAATGAAATCCTTCAGTTAAACAAAACCTGTAAACAACACCAACACCACCCAGGGTAGAGTGACTGCATAAACTGAATAGCAACAAGTAGCTGATTGAACATCAGCCTTTAATTTACTTGTTTGACTTTTCTGCTTCTTAAAAACACAAAAATGTCCTCATAGCTTGTCATAGCCTTTTCTAAATGATGCACCACTCTTTAGTCGGTGCATTTTGTCCATTCCAGTCTTCTCACATAACTCTAAAGACACTAAATATTCTGATGCCTAATGTGTATTAGGGCTACAGTGAGTAGCTGACAAGGCTGACGTTTTAAAATTGTAAACAAACAGTGTTCTTCTAAATTGTGGAACTCAATTCCACCTTTTATTAGACAGTCAAGCCCAGTGCTCACTTTTAAGAAGCACCTAAAAACGTATCTCTTTAAATTAGCATTTAACTAAAACTGAATGTCTCGTGGTTTTTATCTGGTAATTTTAATCTTCTTCATTTTCTTCTGATTCTAATTAAGTACTAAGGATCTTTTCTATAACTATGTTTTATCACCTGTCTGTAAAGCACTTTGAGCTGCCACTGGCATAAAAAGTGCTATATAAATAAAATTATTATTATTAATTATTATTATTATTAAACCAGAGGACTTTATAATGTTCTGTAATGTATGTATCTAGAACAAGCCATGGTCATTTTTACAGATTATAATACATTCCTATTGGTTAGATAGCATAGTAGGTAACACCAATGTTCCAAACACAGTAGATTTACATTTACAGCATTTAGCAGACACTCATATCCAGAGTGACTTACAAAAGTGCTTAGTTGTCAACCCAGAGAAACTATCTTGGCTAGTATAAAAAGGTTAGAGTAAAAGCTACTCCTGAGCTCAGATATTGCTAGAAAATGAAAGCCTGTGTTGAATTAGACATGCAGTACAATACATTTCAATAAGTGCTTATATTAGTGCTCAGTTACTGCTGTAAAAAGAGTTGTGTCATCAGTTTGATCAGGCTGTGAAGATT